TAAAGACCGGTTTATTTCTGAAGAGGATGGATTTATCTAAATCCTCAAAGATGTTTTCTTGTGCTTTCTAAGCTTAGCTTCATCTGACAATTCCACAGTACTAGAGAATTAAACTCATTACACAGGTGAATAGTCTGCAAAACATCACATTATGAAAAGCTCCGAATTAGGTTGCAAAGAATTTTGTATTCATCAGTGAAAGATTTTTCGTTAGAATATATACCGATCCGAATATATTAAACTAACCTCACAATTTTATGTCTGAGAAATGGACAAAAAACCAGTCGCTGTGTATAAGCCGATGTAACTAATAAACACTTTACCTGCATATAGCTCGATTTCATAAATGGCTGGAGAATATTTTTATGAAGTTTTAATATTTTGATATCTAAAATGTTTTACGTGGCATTTAAAGTATAGTTTTGGCTTCATTACACATTTGCCATTTCATCTCTTAAGGCAGGTAAAGTATTGAGAAACATGAACAAAATCGATAGAAACAATGAAAAGAGTGTCGTACAGTTATGCAATATCAATTCTACATAATGGAAGAGAATAGTGGAAGATTTCCTCACTGTGAAATTTGAGGAAAAAGATATTTGGTTCCACAGAAGGACAGCGAGAATACCAAGACAAATGGAAACATAAATGACGCATAAAAAATGTAGAAATCCCTAGAGTGCATAATGAGAAAAGAGGGCTTGGAGAAGTTGACACTTACGGGAAATACTGAAAGAAAAAGTTTCAAAAGAAAGCATCGAGGAAACGAGATTGCGTAAATCTGAGGTAGAAGAGGGAATGGGAGGGATGGTGAAAAGTTTTTAAAAAGGGGGGGAGTTAAAGAACCCCAACGTCCGGAAAGGGACACGACAAATGAAATACGTAGAAGATTTTCATCATTCACTTGCATCAAGATTCATGTTCAATTGCACCGGTTATGTACAGTGACTGCACAAAAACAATTAGTAGCGTAAAAAAATTAATGACAACATTTGTTTCTAGTTAGTTTCCAGTTAAGAAATAGTAAAATAAGAAGATATTTCTTTTGAAAAAAATCTTTCTTTGAAATTGTATTTTTTTTTCGATCACAGCTCTTGTTTTTAGTATTTGCTTCAAAGAAAATTTCCTGCCTAAATACATAGAATATATATATATATATATATATATATATATATATATATATATATATATATAATAAAAAATATATAGAAAATCAATATGATTCCAACTCGCGACATAAAGTTTTCGGCTCCTGTCTTGAAACATGAGACCTCTTATGTCGCGAGTTTTTAAATCATATATTATAAATAAATATATATATATATATATATATATATATATATATATATATATAGTCAAGGTATGATATATTTAGGTATGTAAATGTAAGCTATATTTATGGTGTAAAATGCTTAATATCAGGGGTAGAGCGTCATGACGTTTGCGTATAAGCATGACTGTCATCAGTGGGTCTTAACGTTAATTTCTACTTCTGTATATATATATATATATATATATATATATATATATATATATATATATATATATATATATATGTGTGGACACTAAGGTCAATCACCAAATTGTGACATTCTGTTTCATGCTTGAGCGCAATCTTCGGGACATAAAAAGATGTTTTATATATATATATATATATATATATATATTGTTTCATTTACATTACAGTTAAAATGTTTGAGCTAACGCCTGGTATTAATTGTTTTATACTTTCAATAAGAAAAAAGTATTACGAATGTCTAAAAAAGAATGAGATGTGAGTTTCTCTCTGTACAAGACCCGTGAGCCACACGAGGTAGAGAATTACAGAGTAATAGGCTCAGTTTATGCAGAAATGTGGAGCGGATAACGGTTACACTTCACTTCAACAAGCTTAGATTATACGGTGCTGGAAAGCATCCTCTTGGAAGTTGGTTTCACAAAGCAACAGTTCATGGGAAGCAAGGGCTCGAGTGGAACTTACATCAAACCCACTGGAAATTAAAGTGAATGAACGTGGTTCGCTACAATGTGCTTAGCATGGCGTGTCTTTGCCGTGAAACATAGAACTGATGGAATTAAGGAATATGTTTCGTCTGAGCTCATCCCATGAAAATAGATTTAGGGCAGCGAGAGGCTTGCGGCGTTTTGTCTGTAAGAAAAGGGTTTTAGTGTGAAAAATAATCTGTTACCCACAAGGACTCGGAGATGCTTTTGTGCTCTGTCATGTATGACAGCAGTACCCCATTTCTGGCCTTATTTGGCTCTCGCAAAGACATAGGATATCATATGGTGTCAGGTATTTACAGGATCGGTACAGGGACGCGTCAATTTTCCGGCATTTTTAATGACGGATCGTATGTACGAGTTCCACTTGGGGTCTGCATTGAATTTAAGTCCCAATTCCCAAATAAGTCTCAGGCCTGCCTGAAGGAAGATCCATTCATAGTCAATGGTGATAGCTCTGATCAGCGATGATATTTAAGAGACTAATTAAAGTACTGAATAATTGACTCGAATACGTCATTTACTCTGCTGATAGGTACAGGTTACCATGCTTGCTTGTCATTCGCACCAAAAGCTCCTATACGCGCATTTCAGAGTGTTTGAGTGTCAATCTGATTCAGAAAGAGTTGGGTGAGTCGTATGGTGATTACGAAATTATTTGGGGTTATGACTACTGAAGACGACATTATGCCTTCATTCATCTTCCCACAATGCCTCAAACTCAGCATGGAGGTCTACATCATGTGCCACTGGAATACCTTACGTCTGGCAAGAGAACTCTGTGTCATGCCACAAAAACAGAAGAACCCAATCTTAGCTGTCAGACAATATCTGCGATCACACTATCCCTTACATCTGTGCACCTAACTACTCAGAGTGGAACTCTCTTGATTATTATGAGGGACACCAACAAAACTGATTGTAACACCAAAGATGAACTGAAGGCAAGCTTTATAGCAGCATTCACCAACTTAAACAAGGAAACCATCCAGTGTTGCAGGAGATTCTGAAGTCTTCTAGAGGATGCGGTTGAAGCTAAAGGCAATTTTATTGAATAAATTTACTCTTCAGTATTTCAAGATATTTTGTGTCATTTTTGTAAATATATCTGTTAAAATGAGATGTCAGTGTTATTTTGATTTTTTGCTTAATTTAGACCACAATTTGTACAACGCAACCTGTATATATATATATATATATATATATATATATATATATATATATATATATATATTCGCTGCTTGAACCATATAATTGTGTTATACTTATATATATATATATATATATATATATATATATATATATATATATGTGTATGTGTGTGTATGTATGTGCGTGTGTGATAACAATAGTTTTATTTATGAGTAAAAGTGGTCGATATCAGAGATGGAGCGTATCTATCTATCTATCTATCTATCTATCTATCTATCTATCTATCTATCTATCGACTTACCTACCTACTGCCTAATTGTGCCTATATATATATATATATATATATATATATATATATGTGTGTGTGTGTGTGTATGTGCGTGTGTGATAACAATAGTTTTATTTATGAGTAAAAGTGATCGATATCAGAGATGGAGCGTATCTATCCATCTATCTATCTACTTACCTACCTACTGCTTAAAACCGCCTAATTGTGCAATATATATATATATATATATATATATATATATATATATATATATATATATATATATTTTCTGTGTGTGTCAATTTGATATAACTAATATCGATAAAAGGACAATATGAATAAAGGCAAAAGCAAAAATTGCTTAAGTTATATATATATATTTCTAACGAACGGATTACTTATCTGATATATATATATATATATATATATATATATATATATATATATATATATATATATATATATATATATATATATATATATCTTAACGTTTGTCAATATTTGGTTTGGAACAATGAAGATATTTAAAATACGCTTCCTGAGGAAATTACTTTATAATCAACTGCTATTATCAATTTGAGATGTCTTAATTCACAACATGGTGAAGTTTCGTTCGAATCTTTGAAATCATCCCACGAAATTGATAAGGGAGTCGTGAGCCACTTTTACTCAATAACGTCATGTCTCTACGCAGAACTACAGGATTCGTCAAAATCAATTGTGCAAATATTTTACATATCAATTTCTTGTGGCATACTGAACGTATCATATTCTAGTCTCTTTATATTTTGATGTCTTTTACGAATTAAGATTTATATCCAAAGGATATATTCTGCTCAATAGCGTATGATATCCAAATTATAAACCAGCATATTCATGGCTTACACATTAAACATAACGTCTCAGTTACGAAAGTTGTCTTGTATTAATTTCTAATACCAGATTCTCTCTTTGATATCTGATATTTACGTTACAACTATATTTTTTGTATTAACACAACGTAAGTTTTTATCACAATTTCAGTACATATTTTATATGGTAAAAAGGCAATATAACTTCTAGTGAAAGAGAAATAATAAAAAATGTTTCACTGAATTCGCCATCAATCACAACAGACATGGAATGAAATTATTAACTTGCTAATATAAAGCTGTCAATAATCTTCCAAAATGTTTCATGACACTTCTAGATTGTGAGGCGAAGCAGAGAAAATAGATAGATTTGTTCACGGTTCCCAACCCCCAGAAAGTAAAGACTACATGACTACACTGGACTATCTTGGAGCCTGCACGTTGGAACGAAAAGAAAGACACCATTTGTAATTCACATTATCCTTTAAGGATAGAGAATAACCCCTGCTTTACTTACACACCACATGGAACTACAGGTATAATTCATTCTATTCTCCGGGAACAGAGGATAATTCAGCCTTACTGACACAGCATGTGGAACTAGAGGCATAATACATTATATTCACCTAGAACAGAAGATAACTCAGCCTTACTGACACCGTATATAGATTTGCAGTCGTAATCAACTCTATTTTCCGAGAAAATAGGATAACTTAGCCTTACTG